TGTGTGACCTCTGCTCAGCAAGTCCTTTCTCCAGACGCCCCCCCAACCCCCCTCTTTCAGTCTCTTATCCAATGCCACCTTCCTAGCAAGGCTTCCCCTGACCACCTCTTTCTTTCTTTCTTTCTTTCTTTCTTCCTTCCTTCCTTCCTTCCTTCCTTCCTTCTTTCTTCCTTCCTTCCTTCCTTCCTTCCTTCCTTCCTTCCTTCCTTCCTTCCTTCCTTCCTTCCTTCCTTTCTTTCTTCCTTTCTTTCTTATAAAATATATTTTTATTGATTTCAGAGGAAGAAAGAGGGAGAGAGAGATAGAAACATCAATGATGAGAGAGAAGCATTGATTGGCTGCCCCTGCAAGCCCCACCTGGGATCAAGCCCACAACCTGGGCATGTGCCCTTGACCGGAATCGAACCTGGGACCTTTCAGTTCGCAGGCTGTCGCTCTACCCACTGAGCCAAACCGGCCAGGGCCTGACCACCCATTTCAAACTGCAAACTCCCCACACCTCCAACCCTCCTTGTCCGTGATCTTTTGTCACGACACTCCTTACCTTCCAAAGTATTCTGAAATTCAGTTATTCGCCACTCGCAACAAAACGGTGAGGAAGGGAGTTTACGTGTTTTGTTCAGACCCGTTTCCCCAGCACCTGCCAGTGCCCAGTGCATAGTGGGAAGACAGATACATCCTGGCTGAATTAGTAACTAGGACAGGGATGGGCAACCCCTGGCACACGTGCCAAACATGGCACCCCAGTAACTTTTGCTGGCACGCAAAACCCTCTCTTATAATCTTCCATTTACAGTTTTTTTCTTAATATCGACTTTTTATTTTTCAGATAAATTCAGTGTAGGTGCATCTTAGATAAATAAATAATTTCACATAACAAGTTATCTGAAAGACCATAGACGCACCACAAGCCCCACTGATCATATCAAACGGAGTCATAAAGTTTTCTGTCGGACTATCAGTGTACATGTATACATTAAAAAATAAATGTATTTTTCATCATCATAATACTGTGTTTTTGTCGCTCGAATGAATTTTGTTATTTCTTCAAGGTTCTTCACATACGTACACCTTAAGAGATATCAAGTAGGAGTAACATGTTCTCACAAAATTAGGGTTGGCAAGCAGAAGAATTTTGAGTCAGAGATTTTACTGGTTTTGGCACTCACTCACAAAAAGGTTGCCCACCCCTGAACTAGGACAAGGGTATAATTTAGGGAGCACCACCTGTATCAGTCCTTCAGAATCCCGAGGCCCAGGGCGGTGCTGTTCCTCTCTTGTATCTCATACTCACTCCCAATCCAGGTTCCTTTAGTCTTCTCCTCTGATTAGCTCTCTTCTGGCAATGAGTCAGACTGAGTGGAAAGCATGGTTTGTTTGCCCGGCAGGTGTGGCTCAGTGGTTGAGCATTGACCATGAGGCAGGAGGTTACGGTTTGATTCCCAGTCAGGGTACATGCTCGGGTTTCGGGATTCGTTCGTGGTCCGTCCCAATAGATGATTCTCTCTTATCATTGATGTTTCTCTCTCTCTCCCCCTTCCTCTCTCTGAAATCAATAATAAAAACTCCACCATGCTTTAAATGAAATAGCAGCTCATTTGCATGCCATTTCTTTGGCAGCTAAATGTGAGCCACAGAGAGAAGGGGTGCCATCGAGCGCCCTCAGTCGGGGACCGAGGACTGAAGTGGGGCTGGTCTCTGTCTGGTGAGTGGCCGGGCCCTCAGGTCCTCAAAGCTGCCCTTCACAGGCTCAGGTGGCCATTCCACTCTGCCCTTGCTCTTGGTTCCTTCCCGAGTTACAGTGGGGAAACCGAGGCAATGAGGGCCAAGCCCCAGCTGAGTCCTGGAAGGCGGTCATAGTTTCCCGTCAGTGGGAAGCTGAGGCAATTGGGTCCGAGTTCCGGTTGGAAACAGTGTCTCCAGGGATCTGCACTCATGCTGGCGGATGCAGCCTGGCTGGCTTCGGGGAGCAATCTGCAGAGGGACAATTGTCTTTTCTGTGCTTGGTTGACCTCAGTGGTGGGGTCCCTGGGCTCCTGCACTTCTGGCCAGTGTTGGTCCATGGGAGGCTCTGACTGGCAGGAGGAGAGAGAGAGTTTGGGGTATTTTTCTGTCATCTCCCTCCTCAGTGCCTAGTTCTGTCCACAGCTCTGGAGTTTCTGCTGCTTCTGGAAAAAATCAAATGGCCCGTCCAATGTGGGGGGCCCACAGGGGACTGAGGGTGGAGCCAACTGTGGGCTCATTTGCTGGTCAAAGCATCCAGGTGGAGGGAGGACAAGTAGAGAAATCCAGGTGGGGAGGGAGCAGGTACAGGCCTGAGGTGGGAACTGCTTTAGTGGTTCACGGAATAACAAGCCAGCTGATGTGTGGGAGTGGAGGAGCGAGGATTGAGGGCTGGAGGCGAGGGCAGAGGGGACCAGAGAGCCTTGTGTGACAGTGAGGACTTGGCTTTTATTCTTAGGGCCACAGGAATCCACCGTGGCTTTTGGGCACAACCAGAAAGCTGAGCTGGGATTAGAACCTAGAAGAAGCCTTGACCCTCAGCTTTGATTACAGAGTCCTGGGTTCAAGTCCCCGTTCTGCTGATGAGTTACTGAGGGGCCTACACACGTTATGTCCACTCTCTGAGCCTGTTCCTCCGTCTGTAACCACAGAGGAGTTCAGTCACAGCCCTTCCTCAGTGAGATGCTGTGATAATGAAAGATGATGCTCGGAGAGAATGTGCATGTGGGCCGTGTGCTCACTCCCATGTGTGGGTCTGCAGCGATGTGCCTCCTGTGTTCCTGATGTAGTATCCCTTCCTCTTGTTCCCTTGATCAGTCTGGCTAGAGGTTTATAAAATTTGTTGATTCTTGTAAAGAACCAGCTTTTTTCTTTTTTCTTTTTTTTGTGGGGGGAGGGTAGTTAATTCTTTCTACATTTCCTATTTCATGCATTTCTGCTGTTACATTTTTGTTTGTTTGTTTGTTTTGTGTGTTTTTTGTTAATCCTCACCTAAGGATATTTTTCCTATTGATTTTTTAAGAGAGAGTGGAAGGGAGCGGGAGAGACAGAGAAACATTGATGTGTGAGACACACATTGATTGGTTGCCTCCCACACAAGCCCCAAGCGGGGGCTGGGGATTGAACCTGCAACCAAGGTATGTGGCCTTGACTGGAATTGAACCTGTGACCCTTCAGTCCTTGAGCCGATGCTCTAACCACTGAGAAAATTGGCTAGAGCTCTGCTGTTATGTTTTTGATCCCCTTCCTGCCACTTACTCTTCTTTTTCTAACTTCTATAAAATTGATTTTA